CCTTGAAGGTATCTGAGAAGAATTGACCGCACTGGTCAGATGTAATTCTCAGGGGGATGCTGAAGAGCGCGATCCAGTGATAAAGAATCGCATTGACTACTGTTGGCATCCTCGAGTCGATCAGTGGAACTGCTTCTGGGTATCGCGTAAATCTGTCGACGATGGTCAAGCACCAGCTGTGTCCTTTTGCGGCAAGAAGAGAGACTAAATCGACGTGTATGTGTTCGAATCGTCGTGATGGTGTCTCGATGTCAGCTATTGGTGTGACCGTGTGTCACGTTATCTTGTTTTTCTGGCACTCCAGGCAGTGTTTGGTCCATTGGGCACAGTCTTTGTTTATGCCAGGCCACACGTAGCGTTGTGTCACGAGTTTTCGCGTGCCTTTGGGTCCAGGATGAGCCATTGAGTGCAGTGAGCTGCAGACGTGTTGTCTCAGCGGAGCAGGAACGTATGGGCGAACTGTACCTGATGATACATCACAGTACAGTGGTTCGTCCATTCCTGAGAGTTGTAAGCGGTCCAGTCGCAGGTTCACCTCCGGTCGCTGGAGTAATTGTCGGAGTTCTTCATCGTCGCGTTGGGCATCTACCAGCTGCTGAGGTGTGACGGCAGTCGTGATTTCCTCAACTCTTGATAGGGCGTCTGCCACGATGTTGTCTGGGCCCGCGACATATCTGATGTCCGTGGAAAACTGGGTGATGTAGTCCAGTCTCCTGTATTGCCAGGGTGAAGCTCGTTCCGGTTTCTGTTGGAACGCGTGAGTCAGCGGTTTGTGATCGGTGAAAATTATCACATGTTGTCCTTCAAAGATGTGCCTGAAGTGCAGTACTGCCTCGTAGATTGCTTGCAATTCCCTGTCGTAAGCCGCGTGTTTCTGCGAAGAAATTCCAAGTTTCTTGCTGAAGAAGGCTAACGGCTGCAAGGAACCGTGGTGTTCCTGCTGTAGAACGGCGCCGATCGCGTGATCCGGTGCATCTGTGAAGATAGTCCACTCTGCCTCGATATTTGTATGAGACAACAGAGTGGCTTCTGCTAGCGCTTGCTTGCTGTGCGTGAATGCTTCTTCACGGCCTAGAGACCAGGTTACTGGTTGCTTTCCCTTGACGTTCGTCCCCTGAGTCGCGGCGTTCAGCGGGGCGAGGATTTCTGCTGCTCCCTTGATGAACTTCCGGTAGAAATTTAGAGTTCCGAGGTATCCGCGTAGCGATTTAACCGTTGTTGGTCTTGTGAACTCCAGGATCGCGTTGACTCGATACTTGGGGGGTTTAATTCCTTGAGCGTTGATCACGTGTCCGAAGAAAAGTACCTCTGACTGTCCGAGGACTGATTTGGCGATGTTGATTATCAGCCCGTAGTCCTGGAGTCGTTGGAAGAGGATCCTCAGGTGCTCGCGATGTTGCTCCGCGTTTTCCGATGCTACTAAGATGTCGTCTATGTACGGGAACAAAAATGGTAGATCGCGTGTAACCTTGTCGATCAGACGTTGGAATGGCTGAGCTGCGTTTCTGAGGCCAAATGTCATGTATGGGGATTCGAAGAGTCCAAATGGCGTGATTATTGCCGTTTTTTGGATGTCTTCGCGTGCCACTGGAATTTGGTTGAAGGCTGTAAACAAATCTATGGTGGAAAAGATTATATTGCCATGAAGGTTGGCAGCAAAATCTTCTAGATAACGAACAGGATATGTATCTGGTATTATCCTGTCGTTGAATGCTCAGTTATCACCGCATGGCCTCCATCCGTTGTTGCTTTTAGGGGCCAGGTGGAGCGCGGTCGCCTACGGACTTTCAGATCTCCTCGCGGTTCCGAGCGTCAGCATGCTGGAGAACTCCGCTTGGGCGGTTTTATGTTTAGCCGGCGCTAGGCGGCGAGCTCTGCAGGAGATTGGTGGTCCTGGTGTTGTCCTGATGTGATGAACAGTGGAGTGTTCCGCTTTTCTCAGCAATCCTCCCGGTTTTGTTATTGCTGGGAACTCTTTGAGGATCGACGCGTACGGTGAATCCTCGTTGATCTCGAGGAGCTTGACAGACGTCGTGCGGGATCGCGCAGACTGGCCGTGCGATTGGAGGCCTGTCCTGCTGTTGATGATTGCTCCGTTTCTCAAGTCCGGTAGCAGACTGAAGTGATGCAGGAAGTCAGCACCGATGATGGGTTTACTGATGTCTGCTTCGATGAATCGCCATGTGAAATCTCTGCGTAGACCGAGATCTGGCGAGATGGACACGTAGCCGTACGTGTCGATGAGGGTGCCATTGGCCGCAAAGAGTTTATAGCCACTGGTCTCCCTTTTGCTCGGTGGCTACCTGCAAGGCGTGGCAGAGACGTCTGAACCTGTGTCCACTAGGTATTGGGTCCCAGTCGTCCTGTCAGTGATAAATAGGCGGCGGGATTCTGATTGAAAAACGACTTTCGCCATTATTGTCTTTCTCTGGCGTTTCCCTGAAATTTACAACCGGGTAGGCAGTTACGGGTGTTATTACCATGCTTGTAGTGATACCAGTAGATGTCAAAATTCTTTGATACTTTCCTCGAGCTGGAGCGCCGGCACGAGTGGCTGCGCTGACCCTGTGAGCCATTTCGACGTGTTCGTGAACGAGACCGTGGGTCGCGCGTTTGCATGGCGGCAGCGGTCACCGACAGCTGCTCAATTCGCTCGAGGAGTGCCGTGTCGACTGCGTTGGCTGGCGAGCCGGTGATTGCTGAGACGCTGTCCGGGTTGAATACCTCGTGCACCCTGTCTGCTAGCTTCGCGAGATCATCAATGGAAGCGTTCTCCTGGGTGGCGAGTGTACCTCGCGTCTGCTCGGGGAGATGAGACGACCAGCGCGTTTTCAGGACCTCGTCGTCAATGCCTGGAACAAGACTTTTTAAATGTCTCAGGTGTTTCGACGAGGTTCGATCCCCAATGCTCTCCCTATCGAGCAATTGGATGATGTTCGCAGTCCTGGATTTTGTGAAAGATCTGATTAGTTCGTTTTTTAATGTTTGGTATGGATTTGTTACAGGTCTGGAAACAATTAAATATTCGACTTCTGCGGCGTAAGCAGTGTCCATCAGCGGTATCGTTTTGTTGTACTTATCTGACTCGGTGACGTATCCCATGTCAGCGAACTGTGTCTTCAGCTGCGCGAACCATAGCGCGGGTTTGTCCGCCTCGAACGGCCTTGCGATGAGCTTGGGCCTCATTGTAGCCGTTGCTGTCGTTACAGTGGGAGTTGTTTGGATGTCAGCTGCTCTTGTTACCATGTCGATTTTATTTTATTTTATTTCAGAGAGAAATAAAATCGATGAATTTTACTTCACAGTGCGATTAAACTTAAGGAATAAATTTGTGAGAAAAATAAAGGCTGTTGTAGTCACTATTTGTCACCAACACAACACAACGTCTATGGGTGTTCGGCAATGTGTCGGTGCGAGGTCACAAATATTCACTCGGATATCACTTTTATTCGGTTTGTTTTGGTTCCGCGAGAACAATGGGAAACCAAGGTCTTGACGCTCGGACGGTGGGAATGTTCCAGAAATCTCGAGACGCCGTCGTTTCAAAATCGAAGCGTGGGTCACACAGCGAAATTAATTATTTTCAGAAGCGCGCCACTTAACTAGAATGCACTCGCGGGATTCACTGCAGCACTTGAAAAACTGAGTCGCGCGTGTTGTCCGGAAAAACGGATGAGAACGCGTGGAGAAGAGAATGAATTTTTCAATTGCACTGCACGTGCGCGAGACGCGAGGGTTTTCACTTTTGTCGGTTAAAACGTCGAATTTCCCTAATTAGATCACGTCTGGGTCACCAATGTAGGAATGGAGGTTGTTGAGGGATGTAAAAATTCACTAACAAATGTAATTAGTATTTAAATTACATTTTAATCAAGAGGTTTAGAATATATATACAAAAGAGAAAGAATAATCAAAGTGATCTGATCGGAGGTCAGTGTTAGACACTACTGACTATCTTAAATCGCGTAAGACGGCAATTTGGATATGCATGACAATAGGTGCGAGCGAGAGGTATTTTATACTGGGCGCGTGACAGAGCGCGATGATGTCACCGATGTCCAGTCGTCTCTCAGCGTTGTCGTATCCGTGCGTGTGTTACGCGTTGGTGTGTATGTAGCGAGACGCTACAGGGGGGGGGGTATAGCGCCTCCCGACATCCTAAAACCCGAACACTGACTAACGATGAGCACAGGCATTTGCCGTCTCACTCGCACCTTCAGTGCCACGGGTATTCTTTTCTGATTCGTCAAATCGTAAGGATATTTACCAGCCTCGCTGACACCTTTCCGTGCGAATATAATTCAGTCTAAGAGTACAGCTCGTATCGCACACTTGATCGGATCATATTATTTTCTCTTCATCTTCGTATTAATTTGACGCGGATAATAAATCTGTAATTATTAGTTTAATTGCATTTGTTAATGGATTGTTACCTTCCCGACAACATCTCAATCCCTACATTGGTGACCCCGACGTGATCAAAATAAGGGAAATTCGCGTTAATCGAAAGGGAAAACTAACTCGCGGCGCGGCGTGCATTTTTGCTCGAAAATTTTATCCGCGCTTCCCAATGGTTTTATCCTATCCTTGGTGAACCCTCGCGCAGCTAGCTTTCCATTGCCGCATAACTCCGAGTGCAAGTGTAATTTTATTTCACGTGCTTGATAAAACATTATTTTCACCGTGTGGTTTCTCTCAACGAAAATATTAAACACGGCATTTCGAAGCTTCCGCAGCATTCGAAGCGTCCGAGTGCCAACCGTTAATTTCTCAGTGTTTCGGTAAAATCAAAACAAAGTGCCGTATTCAAGTGAACAGTGACCTCGCACCGACACATTGCTAAGCACCCAGAGACGTTGTGTTGTGTTGGTGGTAAATTGAGACTCATAACGCCTTTATTTGTCGTCACATTTATACTTTCAATTTTATTTCTCTTCGAAATTTAATTTCGAAAATCGATAATCCTAGCTTCTCATTCAAAACCAACAACGTGAGATACGATGTCTACCACAACAGGCGGCACGCTGACGGTCCCGACTGTCACGACACCGACACCCTCCGCACTGTCGCAGATCAAGCCACCGGAGTTCTCACGTTACAAGCCCAGGACTTGGTTCATACAGCAGGAGGCCCAATTCCGCAATTACGGAATTGTAACAGAAACAGATAAGTTTTACCGAACATTACCATTAATTGAAACAGAATCAGCTGCTGAAGTAGAGGATGTAGTTATTACCCCCGATCAAGTCGCACCTTTCCAAGTTCTCAGAAACGTTCTGATTGCTCGATTTACAAAGTCAAAGAAAGTAAATCTTATCCTATTCCTTGATCGGGAGTCGATTGGAAATCGATTACCCTCTCAATATCTAAGACATTTGAAAGGTTTAGTTCCAGATATCGATGATGAAGTCTTGAGGGCACGCCGGCTCTCTCATCTTCCGGAGAGCATCCAAGCATGTTTGGTGATCCAGCCCCAGGTAAACACCGATGACCTAGCTAAGCACGCAGACAAGATCCACGAGGTCTATCATCCAGATACTGTTGCGGCGGTAACAAAGTCGAGTGCAAGGAAAAACGCACAGCTAGCAGCTGAGTTCGCTGCACTCACCGCGTTTGTCGCAGCCCGGCAAGCACGGAACTCGCGCTCACATCAACGCTCATGTGCCCTCTCGCGATCCCGCAGGCGAGACAACAACCGCCCGCGTAGCAGGTCGAATACCAAGGTCTTCGGACAAACGCAGTCCTGCTGGTACCATTTAAAATTTGGTAATCGAAAGCGTAACTGTTCATCTGGTTGTAAGTTTCAGAAAAACTCCAGGGAGAGACAATAGTGGCGGAAGTCATCTCTCACTTGACATCCCGCCGCCTATTCATCACCGACAGAACGACTGGGACCCGATACCTAGTGGACACAGGCTCAGACGTCTCTGTCACGCCTTGCAGGCGGCCAGCAAACCAAAGGGACACCAGCGGCTATCAACTTTTCGCAGCCAACGGCACTTTCATCGACACGTATGGCTACACGTCCATCTCGCCCAATCTCGGCCTCCGCAGAGACTTAACGCGGCGTTTCGTCGAGGCAGATGTCAGCAAACTCATCACTGGTGCTGATTTCCTGCACCACTTCAATCTGTTGCCGGATTTGAGGAGCGAGTGCCTAATCGACAGCTCAACAGGCCTAGAATTGAATGGCCAGTTTACGCGTTACCGCGCACTGTCTGTTAAGCTACTCGAGATCAACGGAGATTCACCGTACGCGTCCATCCTGAAAGAATTCCTGGCAATAACGAAACCAGAGGGACTGCTCAGAAACACTGAGCACTCTACTCTCCACCACTTTAGAAGGACACCGGGACCGCCTATCTCCTGCAGAGTGCGCCGTTTGGCGCCAGATCAACTCAAAATCGCGCATGCTGAATTTTCGAGCATGTTAAAACTGGGAACTGCAAGGAGATGTGAAAGTTCTTGGACATCTCCGCTCCATTTGGCCCCGAAAAAGAACGGCGAATGGAGACCATGCGGAGATTACAGCGCACTCAACGACAGAACTATATCAGATAAGTACCCTGTTCGTTATTTAGAGGATTTTGCTGCCAACTTGTACGGCAAAATAATTTTTTCTACCATAGATCTGGTCAAAGTGTTTAATCAAATTCCAATTGAACCTGAGGACATCCAAAAGACCGCGATAATCACGCCTTTTGGACTTTTTGAATTTCCGTACATGACTTTCGGCCTCAGGAACGCGGCTCAAGCCTTTCAACGCCTAATAGATGAAGTGACACGCGATCTACTATTTCTGTTTCCATACATAGATGACATTTTGGTAGCATCGGACAAAGAAGAAAAACATCTCGAATACCTGAGAATACTTCTTCAACGCCTACAGGACTACGGATTGATAGTAAACGTCGCCAAATCAGTCCTGGAGCAGCCAGAGGTCATTTTCCTTGGACACACGATCAACGCCCAGGGAATTAAGCCTCCCAGAGATCGAGTCAACGTGTTTCGCGAATTCACGAGGCCTACTACTGTAAAAGCACTGCGCAGGTACCTCGGTACTTTAAATTTCTACCGGAAGTTCATCAAGAGAGCAGCAGAAATTCTCGCCCCACTGAACGCGGCAACCCAGGGTCTAAACATCAAAGGAAAGCATCCAGTGACCTGGACTCCAGCCCTTGAAGAAGCCTTCACGCGCAGCAAACAGGCTCTGGCAGAGGCCACTCTGTTGTCTCATCCAAAGATTGAAGCAGAGTGGGCCATTTTCACAGATGCGTCAGATCACGCGATTGAAATTTCTTCGCAGAAACACGCGTCTTACGACAGGGAGCTGCAGGCGATCTACGAAGCGGTACTGCACTTCAGACACATCGTTGAAGGCCGTCATATGATAATTTTCACTGACCATAAACCGCTGACTCACGCGTTCAAGCAAAAACCTGAACGAGCTTCACCCTGGCAATACCGAAGATTGGACTACATCGCCCAATTCTCTACGGACATCCGGTACGTCGCGGGCCCAGACAACGTCCTGGCAGATGCTCTGTCACGAGTCGAAGCCGTCTCAACCGCTGTCACAACGCAACTGCTCATAGATGACCGGACGTGAATCTACGACTGGACCGCCTACAACTTCCAGGAAAGGATGAACCACTGTACTGTGATGTGTCATCAGGTACAGTGCGCCCATATGTGCCTGCCCAGCTGAGACACTAAGTATTCAACGCGCTGCACCCGATGGCTCATCCTGGATGCAGAGTTTCACGGAAACTCGTCACGCAACGCTACGTCTGGCCCAGCATGGATACAGACTGCTCTGAATGGACCAAACACTGCCTGGAATGCCAGAAAAACAAAGTCACGCGATACGCGGTTACACCAATAGCTGAAATCGAGACACCATCGCGACGTTTCGAACATATACACGTCGATCTTATCTCTCTTCCTGCCTCAAAAGGACACAGCTGGCATTTGACCATCGTCGATCTATTTACGCGGTATCCAGAGGCAGTTTCATTGACTGCTGCAAAATTGCCTACCGTAGTTAACGCGATTCTCTACCACTGGATCGCATGCTTCGGAATACCTCTGAGAATTTCGTCTGATCAAGGTGGTCAATTCTTCTCAGGCACGTTCAAGGTGCTCACACGAATCCTAGGCATCAAGAGGATCATGACAACGCCTTTTCACCATCAATCAAATGGTTTGGTTGAAAGGCTACATCGCCAACTAAAAGCAGCACTGCGATGTCACGGCAGAACTTGGTTCGACGCACTTCCCCTGGTACTTTTAGGGTTGAGATCCGCGTAGAAGGACGACCTTCAAACGACCCCTGCTCAGTTAACGCATGGAGAACATATCCATCTACCCGGAGAGTTCCTCGTGCCATCAAACCAACAAACGGCAGCACCGAAATTGGTGAGAAATCTACGTGAACATTTTCGTACAATCGCGCCTGTTCCAGCTGCACACTATGGTACACGTTCAACGTTTATTTTCAAGGACTTATTAACGTGTACGCATGTTTTCATTCGCGACGACCACGTGCGAATGGCATACCGACCACCATACATCGGCCCATTTCACGTTATCAGTCGCCACGACAAATATTTCGTCATCTGGTTCAAATCCGGAGGTTTGGGAAATTACAAGAACACACCGATCTCCATCGACCGACTGAAACCAGCCTAGATACTGCCGGAGGACATGGATCAGCTTCCAGGACAGACTCCGCACCAAGACGTACCCGACGAGCCTCAACAACAGGACCAGCCGCAGCCGAGCACGAGCACGGCACCAGCTGCTGGAAGACGGAGGAGAGGCATAACTTTCGCCAACAGACCGACAATTCACGTCTACCACGTCTACGTCTCTTCATTCAAAAAAAATTTTTTTTTTCACCTGCTTGCCAAACCTAACAAATTTTCTGTTCCTAGAATAATCATTTTCTTTTGCAGATTCAAAAAACTACGTTTTTTACTTCAAACAGGGGAGTCATGTAGTGCCTCGCTACATCCTAAGACGCGAACACTGGCTAACGACGAGCACAAGCATTTGCCGTCTCACTCGCACCTTCAGTGCCACGCGTATTCTTTTCTGATTCGTCAAATCATAAGGATATTCGGCAGTCTCGCTGACACCTTTCCGTGCGAATATAATTCAGTCTAAGAGTACAGCTCGTATCGCACACTTGATCGGATCATATTATTTTCTCTTCACCTTTGTATTAAGTTTACGCGGATAATAAATCTGTAATTATTCTATTAATTGCATTTGTTAGTGGATTGTTACCTTCCCGACAACACCTCAATCCCTACAGGGGGGGGCTAAATTTGTGACACGCTACATTTCAGGTTTTACCTTCTTGATATAAAAAGTATAATACTATCGTGCAACTTGATAAATAATAACGGTATCACCATTATCTTCTCACTTTATCAAGGAACTATCGAAACAAACTTTTTGAGCCGTATTTTTGATATTCCAGATGTTTTTTTTTCTAGTTTATCACGAAAAATATGAAAAAAAAAAATTTACAAACAATGTGTTGCAACTTAATAACGAATAGTGCGATCATCATATTCTGATACGATCAAGTGGTTTTCCATATCAATTTTTCAAGTCCTGAGTAATTTCACTTCAAAGTGTCAATGGATAGAGCTTCTGGGAGTCTATTTTCATGAGAAAATTCATTAAAGTCCATCGATCCTCTATGGAGAAATTAGAAAAAATAAAAAATACAAAAAAGACCACACACATAGATACATACATACATACATACATATTGTAACCTGCGACTATTTACTATTCAATTAATTACAATGGGATTAGGATGAGCAAATAACTGAAGACAAAAAAGGGATATAATTAACAAAATAGGATATATATTCTGAATTATTTGAATACACTAGTTCCTACCAAGCAGAAATTGCCTTTTAATATTGAGCTAGGGAAATGGGTATGGCGGAGAATATCCTGCCAGATACTCTGTTCTCGTCCCAGAGGACAAATCATGGCTTTGAACGCGCGAACAATCTCGTCATAAGAAGATAAATGGCGACGTTCGGTTCGATACGAAACGTGAGCGTTTCTCCGAAAGGCACATCCCAGGGCTCGAAGGATCTCTTTTTCTGTCAGATTGTGTAGTGCATAATAATCATCGATTCTGCCGAGAAAATTGTACGAGTCTTCTTCCTTGGGTCCCGACAAAAAGATCTCATCTTTCTTGAACACGTGGGTGAGCTTCAATTCACGGTTGGAGGGGCCTACCGATGTCTGATCTCGGAACATCGTAGTTCGATGGTATGATTGGGGGGCTTGGTACCTGCCGGGGGGATTCAAAGCGGTTGACGCTGGCAAAGCGGTCACCAGTGGTAGTTGAGGGGGCGGCTGCACTGGTCTAGAGGGAATCTGAGGACAAGCAGCAGCGGCTGCGGGGGTAACCGGTGGGGGGTTGTCTCTGCGGAGGTTTGCCGTTCGGTCTTGGCCTTGAACCAGGTGAGATAAGGGCATTTCAACACGATAAGTGGAGTAAGCTTTGGGGGGAGTCGCCAGCTCTGCAACATGAGAGGGTGTCGATGACTGGGGCTGAGAGCTGTGGGGATGGCCTGCTGGAATGACAGGATTCAATAAATTGGAGTCAGGCGCTCTGGAGGGTGCGGTTTGCTGGGTCTGAGAGTTCAGGAGAGAATTTAGTGGGGATCCGTAGGTCTGAGAGGTCATGATGGGTCCCAAGGGGGTGGAATTCACAGTTGTAACTAGGGGTTGTTGGAAGGTTACTCGGTGCGGATGAGTAGTGTAGTTAGCCTCATTAGGACTTATCTGTGATGATTGATTGATGTCTATCTCCGACTGCCTGAAACTGAGGAGATCTTGAAAGTTTTCGAAGGTTTGCCCGGTCCTCAAATTGGGGGAGGGGCGATATACGAAAGAGCCATCAGACTCAGGGGTGATTTGAAAACCGACAGTCGTGAGGGGAATTTTCATCGTATCGACTTCTTCATCCCAATTAGGCAGATTATTAGTTTCCTCGCAAAGCCCCCACAGCCATGTCCGACTCTCATTCAAATGGTCCTCGCACTCTTGGATGTCTTGATGGTCTACTTCCTCGGTTGCGCGGCTACGCTCTGTCGACTTCGGTTTTCTTCTTCGGACAACCGTCCACTCACCAACTACCTCGAAGTTAATAGTTGCTTCTCCGGTATTCATTTTCTGAACCTCCGGTGTGTGCTCTGCGTCCTTTCTACTCCAGTCCCTGGATTCATTACAGCCTCTCGCATCTGAAACTATTCCCTGATTACCATTGCTGTAGCTTAATTCATCACTAATTATTGAAGAAATTTTTTTCCAGCGATCTGAGGTTGACTCTTCTTTTTTCTCGGAAGTATCTGCTCCTTCTGTAGGGCTACCAGAATGATCAGCGGGCTCTTCTGTACCTCTGTCGATGAGTTTACCTAGAGGAGAGGTGAAATCGTGCCTGACTTGGATGAGAGAGGGATGTTCGATGAACTATGAGTACGGTAGCGGTGCTAGTTCGGCCCTTGGAGGACGGATAGAATCCTCCGATCTGTTCAGCCTTGGTCTCCGGTGGTGAGCGTTGCCCCAGTTTGAATTCCTATTTTTCTGCGATGACCGGAAAATATGGGAACTGGTTGACTCGATTCTAATCGACTGGATTTCTGCTCTCTTATTCTCTCTCCAATTTCTGGAGAGAGGTACAGTTAGAAGATTGTGGCTGACTGTTCTACTCCATGTCGAGTCCGTACGCTTCCAGTGTCTTTTCCTCCAAGAGCTTAAGGAGGCTGGCTCGAATATGGCCCGTGGTCGCGTCTCTGTGTTCTGAGACTTTCCCGGAGATCGTATTCTCCAATTCTCTGTTCGTTGTGATATCTTCTCCGGATCCGGCCTGGAGGACTCGACATTCCTCAGTGAGCCTCTTTTCTGAAGCAGTTGCTGAATATCTGAAATTTGCTCACGCCAGTCTTCAGAACTTTTCCTCGAGGCGGTGGTACTTTCTTCTCCGTAAGATGAACAGGACGTGAGTTAGCTGGTGGAACCAAATGATTCGGGTGATGATAATATTGATAAACTGCCGCTATGCTCTGCAGCTCCGGTTGATAGCCTCCTCGCGGGTTCCTCCAGTACTGGAAGGGTGTCACCCTCCGTACTTTTGGCAGCAAGAGATGTGAACACTGGTCTCGTAGTAAAGGCGACCTTCATTTGCCTCGAGCATAACCCTGGTTGCCCATCGCGCTTCTCCGCTGAGTTTTCTCCCCCGTTCTGGATTAGTTCCGGTGTTCTCGAGTCATGAATCCTCGAAATATTAACGACAATCAGTTTGCTTCTTTTAAAAGACCTTGCCGACGATGGGGCAGAGGAAGAGCACCACAACTCCTGAATCCTCAGCTCCTCTTCTGGTGTGCAAATACGCTAATTGTCGAAGTTACCCTCAGACAATATCGTACTCTGGGCTCTCCACGTTGTCTCGGATGTCCTAGAGTCCACAGACTCAAGAACGAGCAACGTGCCCATGGTTTTCTCCGGTGCTAGGGAAATGTGATCTCTGGGGTTCCTCTCAGCAAGATTTTCGACTGCCGATTTTGTGACGAGGACTGTCTCTGCCTCAACGATCCTTATCTCTGAACCCTTCCAGGAAAACTGAGCTCTCTGGCTTCGCTGAACATCCGTCGTGGAAGTAATAACATCGTCCTCTGAGGAAGTACTCTGAGATTGTAGTCTCCTAGTGATCGGGTCGCTAGCCGAATCAGTCTTCACTAGGCCCACCGTGGCAGGGGTGGTAATCATCCTCGGTAACATCATC